AAATCAAACCGGTTATCCCATGTCTATATCAAATTTTATATTGTTTTTCAATAGTTAAGCTATAATAGTATTGAATCTAAAATACACAATTTTTCGTTTGTTTACTTGCAGTCGCAGAATGAGTCGACTATCACACGATATTTACAAATGGAAAATATTCGATTCACTTACCGAGAACTAACACGATTATGCCCGTTCCATCTATAAATAATTTCTTTACATCCCTGTTATATTCTTCTAGCTTTCAAAACATATTCTTCAGTGTATGCCACTATGCCAACTCTTTCATGCTCGACAATTATGCAGCCAATGCTTGACGACATTTAGGAAAGCTCACTTTCAAATTTGATTTTGAAGTCGTTTTGTGCGTTTCACCACGATTTTATATTTCGCGCAATCGTATATGAACTTTTGTCAGTACTGGAAGACGATTTTGAGCTAAATAAACCGAGTTTTCTTGCCAAAATTATCATTTTAGTAAGTTATAGCGGCAATTTGTAATATAATTTATAGTGTTTGTTTACGCTCGCGTTCCTGAGTCCCAGGCCCCCAAGCAAAATTTAGTACGACGGATTTTTTTTCCAAAAATGTCAAAATTGCCATGTTTGAGGGCCTATATCTCAGAAACTATTGACCTAAATAAAAAAAGGTTGAAGAACTTGTTAAATAACTTTTTGCGCTCTTTTCAAATCCGTAAAGATCCCACAAGTAATATAGGCACTTTAAGCGCATTCTTAGTTAATCCGATGAGCCTTTCCCAGAAACCTCCGTACCACGGGGCACGTTTAGGAATGAAGATCCAATCACAACCGCGACGACTCAATGTTTCTTTCAGAGATATGGAGTCTAGGAGACGCTTTAACTCCTCTGCGGCCGACAAATATGTAGTTGCATTGTCTGATACCATCTTTCGAGGTAGCGATCTACGGCTGACGAATCTTCGAAATGCTTTAAGGAAGGTTCCTTCGCTTAAATCTTCGACAACTTCTAAATGTATTGCTCGTGTATTGGCGCAGGTGAATAGGCACACATAGACTTTGTTTTCTATCGATGATGTCTTCACATAAAGTGCACCGGTAAAGTCTACGCCCGCCTTGTTTCCGACATATGACGCACTTTCGTAGGATTTTTCGTATGAGTTGCCTTGCTCGTGGGATCCAGAATCTTTGTCGTACTGCTGTGAGTGTTGAATTAACGCCTGAGTGAAGCTGTTGATGGTGGATAGATAAAACGACTAGTTTAGTAAATGGGTGGTTGGTAGGGAGCAGGATTGGGAACTTGGTTGACTCGCTCACTGGAGCATTGTGAATCCTGCCTCGACATCGGATGAGACACTGATTGTCTATAAATAATCGAAGTTGCTTGACTAAAGTGATACGAGGTTTGTTCTTTGAAATGAGATTGTCTAGTTCTGATTGATAAGTGGACTGTTGACAACTCTGTATCCATGTTTCGGCTGTGGTGGTTTCGTCAACTGTGAGCTGAGCTTCTTTAAAGGATGTTCGCTTTCTTAACTGTCCGATAAACCTTAACACGTAAGATGTAACTCGTATTAACCGATCTAAACAGTTGGATTGTGCTATGTCAATAATGCAATGGATGCCGTATTCGTTGCATATATTGATTGTTGGGTGGATTGGCGATGGACTGATCTCAACCGTTTCGGGTGTTTGAATGGCTTGGGTTAGAAAGGTTGCTGCTGTTGACCAAGGAGGCCAATGTTCTTGGGATAACGTAAGCCAAGCTGGACCGTTTTGCCATAACGATGAGGATTGCATTTGGTGAGTAGTCAAACCACGAGTAAGAATATCTGCGGGGTTTTCATGTGTAGGACAATAATGCCAAGTGCTGGGAGGAAAGAGCTCTTTAATCGAGTTAACGCGATTGGCGACGAACTGTTTAAGCTGCTTGTTGCTGTTGATCCAATATAAAACGATCTGGCTGTCAGACCAAAGACAAACTTCTAGCGTATCGTATCGGCTGTTCATTGCGTTGTGTATGAAGGAGAGTAATCTAGTGCCAATTAATGCTGCCATCAGCTCGAGTTGAGGTAGTGTTAACTTCTTAATCAGGGCAACGCGAGTTTTAGCCATAACAAATGAAATCTCGTGTCCGTGCTTAAGGTATGTGACAGCTCCGTATGCCTTGATACTAGAATCAACGAAACAGTGCAATTGAGCTACGGTTTTGGAGTTTGAATTCAGGTGGTATCGTCGAGGGATGGTGGTGGTCATGAGCGCTGCTTGTAAATCATCGACTATTTTCTGCCAGTTTTCTGTCAAAGTTTCATTTAATGGTTCATCCCAATCAATGGATTCTTGCCAAAGCTGTTGCATGAAGATTTTCGCACGAATGGTTATCGGTGTTATTATGCCCAAGGGATCAAATATCTTTGAAGACTGTTGGAGAACTTCGCGTTTGGTGATTAGTTGTTGACGAGTGTTCAAGGTGGCTTTGTTGGTTAATGCGAGGGTATCAGAAGAGGTTTTCCAATGCATACCGAGAACGTTAATTTCATCACCTGTATCGGCTGTGTTTTCTTGAATCGTTAAATCTTGTAAATCAGAACAATTTGAAGCCCAAGAGCGCAGGTTGAATTTGGCATCGTTCATAATAAATCTTGCTTCATTGTAGTAGTTGATTGCAGATGTTTCAGTGTCAGTACCAGAGATCACGTTGTCAACGTACATGTTTCTTTTCATATCGAGGGAAACAGGTGAGTTGAAATTTTCTAAGTGATGTTGAACTGTTGCATTTAGCATGAACGGAGAGCTTGTGGTCCCAAAAGGAACAGCCTTAAAACGATAGGTGTCAAAGGAACTGTTTGGATCTGCTGGATCAGATAACCATAGGAATCGAGTGAAGTCTCTATCGTCCTCATGTAAGTTAAGGTGAAGGAATGCTTTCTCTATATCAGTAACGATACCATAGCTGTGGGTACGAAATCGAAGGAGGATTCCTGACATATCGTTGAGAAGTGGTGGACCGGGTTGAAGGCAATCATTAAGGCTTGCAAGTTTCGGGGATGCTTTGCAGCTGCAGTCGTAAACAATCCGAATAGGAGTGGTTGGTGAATCTTTCTTAACTGGGTGGTGGGGTACGCAATGGACGTTGTGGTTAATTGCTGTATTGGGAATTTTCTCGATGAAGCCCCTTTGTTCTTGTTCTTTGATGATAGTGCCATAAGTGCGTAGCAAATCGGGTGTTTGGTTCAATCTCTTGATTGTAGCCCTAGTGCGTTTTTCGCAGACGATGTTGTTCGAAGGTAGTGGGGGGTGATCCTTCTTCCAAGGAAATCTTGCTGTGTAACTTCCGTCCCGTTCGCAAGAAATGGATGTTTGTTGATACTCATGGATAAAGCTGTTTTCTTCAATGTGTGGATCTGGTTCGGTAATACCCAAAGTTTCTAAATTCCAGAACCGTTCGATACGATCATCTTCTTCACGATGGGAAAGCATAACATTCAGCATATTGGTTGGATAGTTCCTGGTACTGGCTGTGGATGCTACAGGTCCGGATAACAGGTAGCCTAGCTTGGATTGCATGGCTGTTGGACCGTTGCCTCGAATGATGTGATCCTCAACAATGTCCCAATAATGATCAGCACCAATTAGTAATGATATTTCAAAGTTCTCATTGTCGGTCACTGGATGTGCAAGTTTGAGGCCCTGTAAGTAGGGGTAGTTCTGAGTAGCAGTTCTGACTGAATTCTGCAATGGAGTGGCGATTTCTGGAACAATGAGGGCTTGTATTGGAATATTTCCTGATGATTCAGTTTCAATGTGTATCGTAACAACATCTAGGTTTCTTCTGGTCGGGGTAACTGCACCAAACGTGGCGAGGTTGATGGTTTCTTTAGTTGAAGTCTGTAGTCCTAATTTTGATGCAAGAGACTGTGATATAAAACTACGTTGGGCACCCTCATCAAAGAGAATGTTAGTTTCGATAGCAGTGCTGTCTGATCTAATTGTCGCAATGGCTGTTTTGAGTAATGAGGTTTGATGGGGACTGGGACCCATGTAGCTCATCTGTGCTGTGGGTGTTAATGTTGCATGTGTGACTTCTGGGGTTTGAGTATCTTCATTGTGGGTGGTTTGCTCCTTGGATGTCGACGGTTCATTTTCCTTATTGCAGAGACTGGTGTGGTGTTTGCGATTGCAATTCGTGCAGCGGTTCTTCGATCGGCATTTAGAAGCTTTATGGTGCCCAAGGCAATTGAAACAAAGATTTTCTTTCTTGACTGTTTCTAATCGTTTTTGGTAATCTGTAACTGTTTGGCAATGTTTAGATGAGTGCGCCTTCTTACAGTAGACACATGGTGGTGGGGCCTTTGCTCTGGGATTTGGGTAATGGGATGATGAGGGATCTTTAGGGATACCAGTGTAGAAGGATGATGTAATAGATGATTTAGTGTCCTTACTTTCAATTAATGTTGGGTTGACAAATTTCCCTGCCTCTAGAATTCTTAGTTCTTTCTGTAAGGCGTTTCGAAGTTGGTCGATGGTCCAATCTAGGGTTTCGTGTTCACGTGCTAAGTTCTTTCGTACATCGTTTGGGAGCTTGCCAAGGATTATGGGTATCAAGAGATCACCGTATGATTCATGTGCTTTTCCAAGTGATGCGAGACCACGAATGTGTGTTTCTAATGTATCGTAAAATTTCTGAAGGTCTTCCAACTGTCTGTTAGGACTCCTGATATCTAGGAGTGCTTGCATATGTGCATTAATAACTTTATCAGTTTGTCCGAATCTGTCCTTAAGGAGGGTGACTGCTTGCTCGTAGTTACTGTTCGTAAGTTGAAAACCCATAATTGAATGCAGTGCTTTGTTCTTGAGTTGCGCTTTCAAATATTTGAACTTTTGAATTCCATTTAATGAGGGGTTTCTATGGACTGCTGCTTCAAAGGAGTCCCAAAATGACTGCCAGTCTAGGGGGTTCCCAGAAAATACAGGAAGATTCAGCTTTGGGAGTTTACATATTGTTTGAGACATATTGGGTACTGTATTTGAAGATGGAAGTTGAGTTGTGGGAGTATCTTCCGAAGAGGTGCTAGTATTCAAGGGGTTAGTTTGTAATGGTGGATGGTCTGGGGTTGATTGATCATGAGACTGTACATCGGCTGCTGCAGATGACGGTTCTGTATTTGTATTTTGTGAAACAGATGGCAAGCTTGAGCCAGTATTTTCTTGTGTAGATACAGTAGATGGATTGTTCAAAGCGCTAATAGACAAGTCAATGTACTTACGTATGTGGTTGATCTTTTCTTCCAGGTCACAGCTCAGTTCTTCGGCTTCGAATATCTCCGTTTCTAAGTTCTTTTCGTCTGTAGTTTTCGCTTCGATTTTCTGGTCCAATTCCCGTATCAAATCCCTTTTCCTTACTAATTGTTCGAGAGATGTATTTAAACTGCTTAGTAACATTTCGTCGGGCTTTTCGTTCGTTAAAATTTTGCTGGTTTTCTTTACTAATCTTGTCACATGTGCTTTGTGAGCTCGTCTCGATGCTTGTATTCTTGTGAGTTCCTCCATCCTGGTCACGGTACCAATGTAGAGAATAGCGAGGTTCGATCGAGTAAGTAAGAGAAACTGTCTTCGTTTTATGGTTATATATTTAAAGCTAAAAAGGTTGAGGAAAACTACATGTGTTCGTACTATCTAAAATGTGTTCGTGTTAGACATCTCAATATCTGTTCGTGTTCGTAGCTGATGCAATCTACATGTCTAATTACATAATGTCAACTGGACTATTTACATTAACTGGACTGCTTAATTCACGACAATATCCTCTGGAATTTCCAGTCTTTTCCGTGGAGGAAGTCTGGATATTTTCTGGAACTACACAATAATATTTTAGGGTTCCATAACTTTCTCGAACACTAAGCAATTCATGAAGGAAAGTAATGTTGTCCGACCGTGAAATTGAATGCTTCACTCCTTGAACCGCCGCCATTTTGTTTAAAATATTTGACAAATTTTCTGTGATAGCCATCCACACATACAGCCAAATTTACTCATTTGGCAAATTTTCTTTGATGTAAAAAGCTGGCATGCCAGCTTTTGATCAAATGCAATTTGTTACGAATTTTTCATCCACACAGACAAAATATTTTTTGACATACAACTGAATTTGCTAAAGAAAATTTGCTCGTGTAAATGGGGCTTAACCAAAGAAGAGCCTGCCTCACAGACTAGTTGTGAGGCTTGGTCAAAGCAGGATATTAAATTTTTCTGGGAGGAAATGCTTCTTTTAATCATCCCCCAACTTTGTCTGTGCCTCCCCCTCCACCCCCCCCCCACACAGGATTACTTTATTAATAAACTAATTGAATAGTTAGAGATGCTAATTGTCCCGCAAAATCATAACTTTACCTAGAATTCCATACCGGTATATATACCAAGCCATAATACAGTTATACATACCTGTCCAATGTCAAATCAATACATATAGCATCCTAAAAGAAATAATAGGATCAGAAAACTAAATAAATAGTCTAAATAACATTATGATGTTGCTTGTCTTTATTTTTTTATCAATGAATTAATAACGAAATACAGGCTTCGTTAAATATTTAAAAATTTCATATTTCTATTTTGTATTAAATTGTAGAAAGTTTTAACTTTTTAAATAGAACCCCTTGGTTACTGTATTTGATACTCTTGGTCATTGTATTTGATAATTTATCATAGCACCATATTCCATTTAATATCCAACCCCTTATGGATGAGGTGTAACATATCTTAAGGCCGAAAAAAAGAAATTTTATGTGTAAAATCCGTCGGAAATTTACTCCTAAAACAATTGAATTGCAACACTTCTAGGGCTAGGAAACATAATCTTTTATTGCTAACCCTACAGAAAAAAAGCCTTTGCTTCCCATCCCTAAGAAATTTCGCCGTCGGCAATAGGGGCTGTGTAGATATTACGTGGAATGGCCCATATTAAATCTGTCTAAGTGCATGGTCTTAAGAGACAGCTTAATTAACAATAAATTTAATACCTTAATAGCAATTAAATTGTCTTTTTCTGAAAGAAACAATAAAAAATGACGAGTTAAAAGACAAGTAGATGAAAAACTGCACGATTTCGTAATGGTTTATAAATACGATTGAAACAGATTGCAAACAAAGAAAACCATGCTTTTACTATACCTTTGTCAGAGGCCATTGTTTCAATTCATATATATAACCCGCACACAGGCTGGTAACCTTCATTTATGAAGTAAACAGGAAGTATAACAGCTGATTTCGGAGGTGTGTCGCGGGTGTGAGAAAGCTTTTTCTGGGAAGTGTGGAGACGATTGTATACAGTTAGAAATTTTTAGCTTGACTCGAATTGGACTCGTGACTCAAGCTTGACTCGGGCTCGAGCTTGACTCGTAAAACGAATACACTCTTATAAATGCAAGGTTAAATAAATAACAGTATAAGATGAACAAATATAGTTTATAAAGACTGTCAAAATATGGCGATGAAAAACAAACAAGATTTGAACCAAAAATGAGGATGTGACAGGATGTGCAAAGCAAAAAGAGACTGGAATTTATTCAAGTTTAATTAATATGTATTTACATGAATAAAAATAGGTACGCTAAGCGTACATGTATCTGCGCAAAGGAAATCCATGGTTGCTATGAAAAAATTTCATTCATAATTATTGAGTAAACATTTAAATTTCGAAGTGACTATACAGCTGGCAGCCAGCTATTTAGTAATCTGCTGGCTATATAGTGACTAAGAAAAAATGCTAAGTCAAACAAAACGCAACCCGACCCAGACTGCGTTTCACTTTCCGCACACAGTGCCTACCATACACTCTAACGGTAAGCTCGGTGAAAGCTAGCGCAAACAAAAGTTTTTTTATATTTAACTATAGTCACTATCATAAATACCCAGCTGCCGGCTAGTCACTTTGTTTATATTTGATGATATGACAAAAAAATGTTCAGATTGCAGTCTCTTCTCTACTGCAATCAACTGTCAGTCAACTGCCAGTGGCAGACACATAAACTGTAAAAATCTTGTACCAAATAATACAAATCACACTTATATAATAGTACCATTAATTAAAACATTGTAATTTAATACCATTAATTAAAACAGTGTTTTGAAAACCTAGTTTTTAACAAAATGTGTTCTCAGAATGCTGCAAATGCCATTTTCGAAGTAACATCTTAAAGCCTTTTCGTGAGTAACCATGCAATGTATGGTTACTCACGAAAAGGCTTTAAGATGTTACTTTAAGATGTTACTTACTAACTTGATAAGCTTATTCATGTTCCGATACCATCATTTACAAAACTTGCCACATTCATTTACGGATTTTTTATGGCAAATAGCCAAATTCACCAATAGTAATACAGTACCCGAAACTCGTCGAAACTTCATATGCATTGCCATTGAACTAATTATACTAAGCACTCACTCTCAGTGAAAGGAGTGGATGTTCGGAATAATCTTGATGTTAGCTTGACAAAAATAACATCACTACCAATCTTTAAAAAAAAATCGAAAATACATAATTGACATTGTCAATACAATCTAGTGAACTTATATTTTAAACAAGGAAGTCTAATTCATATTCATGTAATTAACAGATTATGTCTTTATAGCTCTCCAAATTTTCTCCTTCTTATGTACTTTATTCTTACTAGTGAAAGCAATATTGTTTAATCTTCATATTCTTGTAAATACTTTTACTGGCACTGATTGACACAATATAAAACTTTGCACTGGACATTAAACTAGGGCCTTACCTTAAAAGCCTATGAAGGTTTCTTTAGACTCCTTGCCCTATTTAAAGTTGTAGCTTTAATACTTTTATGTAAATAATTACCATAATGATTGGACGAAATAAATAAATTAATCTTCTAGGATAAAACAATCGTCACTCTGTAGAAAGCCGCCATCTTTGTTTTACGGCCTGTTCGCAGGCATACAGCCCTAATTAGTCGACCTGAGTGTTTAACGCACAAACTCGATAGCATAGTATCTAGCGCTCCGCGCAGATACAAAAAACTCTATGAAAAAAACCTCTATGAAAAGTATTGGATGCGCTGGGTCGAGTCACAGTGGGTTGAGAATAGACAGTTTTAGATAACGCAACGTCAACGAGAACGTGGTTGACTGAGGGAGAGACTGGAAATAGGATGCCGTCGCGTTATGAATGAAATGTGATTTAGATTTGCGAGGATGGTGTTGTTTTGTGTTCTCGAATTTAAATAAAGACTTTGCTGATCAGTCAAGGCAAATTTAAAGAATTTTTTGATCAGATAAATAACTCTGTTTCCGTAGAACAACGAAAAGTCCTGAAGTTGAACGGAATAGTCTGTAAATGTGTTTGAAATTTGAATACACAAACTTTCGAGCATTTGATAAAATTTCTAGACAATCTTATGTAATCTTATTTTATTTTTTATCATTGTAAATTGATGGTCAAACAAAATAAAGTATCTCTGTTAAATTCTTTACCGCTATCGTCATGATGTCGTGATTTTTACAGTAAGTATTTTTTGAATTTTATATTATGCTATATATTGAATGATGATATAACACAGATATAACAACAGCAAAAACATGGCTGTTCGTGGTCTTCAAGCTGCCTGTGATGCTTGAATGTTTGCATATACAGATCATTTGATAGACAACGTAGAATTTGCGTTACTATTTGATTACAACCTGTCGAAATCAATTTATCTGTATTGGAAATATGAAGAATTTGATTTCCAAACTTGGGACGAGGTTGAGTGTTGCACAGAGTTGCGTTTTGACAAAAATGATTTGCCCTTGTTGATGAGATATCTCCAAATTCCTGAACGAATAGTTTGTGACTCATTTTGACTCATTTTAAAAGTATTTTCACTTAAAAGATTCTTTATTTCGGACCAGTAATAGCTTCTTATTAACCGAACGTGAAATCTGTACAGAGAAATATTGGACCGAGGTCATTTTTGTACAGACCGGGCTCCGTATGGCGAGGTTTGTGCAAAAAGACCAAGGTCCAACATTTCTCTGTACGTACCGAGCAAACGAAGTTAATTAGAAGTTTATTATATGGCATTTATAGAAACAAACAAGTACTGCACGATTTTAAATGCATGTTGTATTGGTAGCATGGTAAACATTTGGTCGAAGAAAACAGGGCGCGAAATAACGGCCAGTCAACGGACAATGACAATGTCCGGCCAGAATGCGGAGTTGTCCGGTCAAATTGTTACCTTGCCGGTCATTTTATAATAATAATCAAAATAAAGTGGTCAAGTACAGCATGATAATTAAGAACCATAACATGCATGTTGTCGAATATTTTGCAGGAAAACAACTTCAATGTACACCAGTTTTCACATGCAGTACATCACAAAACCCATTGGCCATGGCCTTGCCTTTGGCTTAAGAGCTAAGACCATGCTTTTAGCCAAGTACAAGCTGTTTTATCAGTGGTTTCAAAACATTTCATAGCAGACGTTGCATTGGGAAGAGTAGGAGTTGCAACCGAAGGCCGAACTTCGCAACTTGGGGGATCTGACAGCATGCTTCCAGAAAATTTTGAACTGCTAGACTCTAGGAGCTGCATTTTTCACCATTTATTCTTGAGACACAAAAAATCATATTTTAAATGTCTAAAACACTTTTCAATTTATGTTCATATAATTAATGCCTATAACAACTAGAGGGCACTCAGACACTGCATATCTCCACCCTACTCGGAAGTGAAAAAAGCGCAAACTATTGAAGTAATTTATTGTTATTAGAATTTGAATGGCTGGTGCATAAATTATACACATCCTAAGTACGCATTCAGTATAAAGTTTTATTTAATTGACCGTGAAAAGCAAGACAAACTTTTGTTATTTCTCATTCAATTTTTAACCAAATTCAACCAAATTTTAATCAGTTCTTCCTTAGCTGATGGGAAATGCATTCAAAAAATTTTGTATGGATATGGTTGGTATTTCTTGAGTTATCGTGCTCACAGACCAACACACATACACACACACACATACAAACCCACATGATTACATAACCTGCTGGCGAAGGTAACAACGTTTACATACAGTAAACATCACCCAACAAAACCATAGTTGTTTGAAATGCCTGGCAGCACTAAATAATTTAAATACCTTTAATTTGCTTAATTGAATTATTGGACTTTTAATGAATCAATGTAAACTCATATAGCTTGTTTGATCTATTGCAGCAAATATATTCAAAACATTTTTAGTTGGCATGATTTTGCGAAAATCTACGTAAAAATGGGAGAAATTCTTGGAAATTTTAGTTCAATTTGGGGGAAAATAAGGATTTTTCCGATTTTGAAACTGCTATGAGCCTATTCTCAGCGTGCAAAAGACGTATCAAAGCTTCTAATCTGTGACTGTCGCTATGTTTTGATGAAATTCCAGGGGAAATAACGCTTGTTTGCTCACAAAACGTTTTGTAAACACTTTGGTATTTTAATAGAATTTTTAGTTACTTACAAAATTAAGAAAAAGTAGCTGTCACAAATAGACGAGTTGCAGTCAAATGCGACGGCTTATTTTGAAACCCCTGTTTATGTGAAGGAATTTTTAATTACTGATTACAGTAAGGCTTTTTGTACTGCTATACTGGGAAAATGGTCACATTTTTAGGGGTATACTTTACTAGGCTTTACTCGCGTCTAAACAAGCGAAAAAGGACGAATTTCAGCCCGGCCCCAATGTCGTCCGGTACCCTGTGTACACACACAGAGTCTAAAAGTGCTCAGTCAATCACAGTCCGCCATTTCACCGGAAGTGATGCTTGCGATACAATAATTCTTGTTATCTTAGTATAACCATTTTTGTAATAGCGCTACTAGGTTTTCTACTGTATACATTCCCATGGTGTCAAAATGTTCATATATAGAACTGTACAACCATTCACTTTAATTGTTATTTTATTATAGGTGCTTGATAACAGCTGTCACAGCCTTGATGAAACTGATCGAGACAAGATTGAAAGTCTAATGGTGAGACATGGGTTGAGTGACCTTTCCCTGATAGATCAAAACAAAGAAAAGGCAGTTCAAGACATTGTTGCAGAAGTGCTGACAACAAGAACAGCCGCACTTGATGCTATATTTACAGGCATGAACACATGTGACCTTGGAACATTGATGAGGTCCAATCCATCTGTTACATCCATTGTGTTCCCTAGTCCAGAAGATGTAGAAGATGATGTGAAGTTAATGAAGGCCAGGTTCAAAGGAATTGACTCGTTTGATTTTGATACTAATGAAAAAAGAAATCCGGTGCAGTGGTTTCTTGATTTTTTAGAAGAAGCTGACAAAGAATCGGGTATGGGGCCATACACAAAATATGTGACACTTGTTTTCCGATTTGTGATACCCCAATCCCCCTGTGACAATCTGTGAGTGTTGGCATTATCCCCATATCAAATATTATGTGACTCCGAGCCAACTGCATAACCAAGCTTTTACTCTGAGCTTCTCTGTACCCCACATTACACGAAAGACAGCATGTGCCAGATCGGCCTTTATTTTTCCCCAGCAGTGCTTTTCACATAACTCAACATATGGTACAAAAATACTTCACTGTAGAATAAATTAATTTCTCTGTCAAGTGACAGTGCTTTAGGATACCCCACTGTGACTATTGTTTAAAACATGAATAGGCATCTCATATCAGTCATATATTTGTGTTTGTATAAAATGCTGGACGACCTAGTCGGACAAATTAACTTTTGACCCAGAGAAAGGCATCTAATATGAAAAACTGCTGAATTAGCCTTTTGCACACTGCCATTTATGGCAGGCATTTCAACCGAAGTCTGTGCGATAAGTCCACATAACAGCGACTTTTTATAATTTTTTGGACGAATGATGGTAAATTTGCTTTGTAAATGGTTAGTTTATTTTGAAAAATTGTTTTTCACATTGTATTGTATTGGTTAATGAGAAATAGATGCCACCCAAAAATGGCGGATATTCGTCATCATGAGAAAGGCTAACTTTGTTGCACGGTCTCTCCTCGTCCAACTAACTTTGTCTGGATTTCGTTTATACTAGCAGACAAATTATCCGTCTGGACGAATTAACAGGTTGCATTCGTCTACTGAGACGAACTAACTACCAAGTAATTTGTATGTTAGCTGCGTTTTATTTGCAGACGAATTATCATCAGGGGTGGCGCTACAGGGGGGTGTGGGGGGTGGAACACCCCCACTTGTCACCAACTCGGCAAATCGTTACCTCAGTCGGCAAAACTGGATTGGCTAAAGATGACCACTGAAGAAACGAAAATTGACTTCCTGAATAATTGAATTCAAACCGAATATCACGGAAGAAATCCCGAGACACCGAATATATCACAAGTAAGTAGTTACGTGGCCGCACCCCACACAATATATGAACATCTATCCGACTCTGTATCGGTTCATTGATCCGCGACAATGCGTTCTATATGTAACCAAGTATCGCCGAAAATTTTTGCTGACCAAAAAGAGTGCAGATTTCAACAAACGAAATTGGTAAACATTTGAATATTCAATTTTAACTCCTTTTAACCTATTTATGGTTCACGATAGCTTATGGCGTGAAGCAATTTTAAAAGGTAGCGTGTTTAACAAGTTTTCCAGTATCTAATTTGATTATTTAAAAAGGCAGAACCTGTTAACCTGCTATACGGTTTGCAAATGCAGTTTGAAAGTGTTATAAATTTTGCCATTGTGACTATCATTATAAATATTTAGAGTATTTTATAAATATTAAAATTTAAAAAGACAGTCATAGACAGTTTGATGACAACTATCAAACTACACACAACAAAACATTTCATACTGCCATGTTAAAGAAAAACAAAGTTATACCGTACAAAGTCGCCAAATGCTCCTCGAAATCCATTTGAAGCTGCCAAAAAAGCGCATTTTTAATGATTTTATGTGTAACAACAAACTATCGAGTAGTACTTTGCCATCTTCTAATGATACCAGCCCTCCCTCTGTAATCCCAATTCATAATGAGCATGATGAAACATCAGGTGCATTGCCAATTCCATCAGAAAAACTAAACACCATCCCAGACACAACCATAGCTGCGGCCACTGCACTTTTCCCAATAATGTTGCTAAACGAAAGCGAACCAGAATCACTGGCAGATTCAGGTGATGTAATATCAGAAGGCAAGCTTGAATCAAGGTGTACATCTGCGTTACTTGAACCAGATGTAAATTTATCCAGTGCCAGTTTTACCGTTTGCACTTCTTCTGAAAGTGAAAATGAAAGTGATGCAGAGTCTTCATCAGAGAACAACGATCACAATTGGTTGACTTGTGCTGGCGAATTATCATACCTGGTTGAAGATCTCAAGAGGGCATCAGAATTAGTGGATGAAGTAAAAAGTGATACTTGTCCTGCGATAGAAACTTTCTTGACCAATGCTGAGGAACTAACACAACAAATTTGTAGGAATTCCAATAAAATCAGGAAAATGAGCAGCGCTTTGTTGAAGGAAATGGAAGAAAAAAAGAGAGCTGCAGTGCCAAATGACGAAGAAATTGTCATGTCAGTACCAAGCCATGATCCTGGTGAGAGATACAAAGTAAATTCACTCACTGAAAAGAAGTACATCATAAAATTGGGACCACACCAGCCTAAGTTATCTGTTTTCCCACAGCATGAAGATATCCCCCAATGAAAACAATGTCGGTTTTCTAGTGTATGGTACGCATCATTTCCACATCTCGAGTACAGTATTTCAAAAGATGCGGCATTTTGCTACGTATGTTCATTATTTCCATCCGGACCTGGCAGGGAGCATGCCGATACAGCATGGTCTATAGATGGTATGTGACAATGGCACAAAATGACCAGTCGAGGAACTAAGAAGAAAGGAAAACATGCTGAGCATTTTGGATCGAAAAGCCATAAGGCTGCATTAGCGGATTTCTATGCTTTTAGTCAAGAGTCGTTAAATGTAGACTTACTCCTTGATAAAGAAAAATGTTGTACGCACTCTGGCCCGACAAGGGATAGCTTTCAGAGGTAGATCAACAAACTCAACGCACAAGCAGGATGAAGAAGATGGCAATTTTAACCAGATTGTCCAACTTCTATCTAGGCATTGTCCAAGCCTCAATAGATGGCTCAACGAGGTTCGTTTGCGACCATATCATGTTACATACATGAGCCATGACTTGCAAAACGAAATGATTGATATTTTGGCAGAAAATATTCGGGACAAGGTGAAAGAAGAAGTAAGCGATTCAAAGATGTTTTCCGTTATGGCGGATACTACCCCTGACACTTCAAACAAGGATCGCCTTGCTGTTGCTGTCCGATATGTTGAGGAGGATAGTCCATCTTTTGCAGTTAAAGAACGACTTATTGAAGTTAAAGAAACGACCGATAAAACAGGCAATGGACAAGCCAGTGATATCCTTACGTCATTAGAAGATAGTGGTTTGAAGTCCTCTGAACTGGTTTTCCAGTAATATGATTTCGCTTCAAATATGTCTGGAATACACAATGGTACGCAGGCAGAAATTGAAAAGAAATTGGATAGAAAAGTTCCATACATCACCTGAAATCATACAGAAACTCGCAGAAATGTTCCCCAATGATGTGGATGCTGACGTGTTAGAAGCTGAACTTGAAGTTTTCAAAAACATAGTTGACCACAAGGAAGAATTAAAGAACGGAAGCATGGACAACATCGTCCAATTTGCTTATGAGCAGAGAAAAACACTGCCATTAACATGGAAGGCATATCAGTTAATGCTAACAGCTCCAATTTCAGTCGCTAAAAATGAGAGAACTTTCAGTCATCTGAAATTCGTGAAGAGTGTTTACCGCTCAACAATGGGGGACAAGAGGTTAGATAATTTGATGCTGTTAAATTGTGAAAAGGACCTGACAGATGGTTTAGACATGTACCAAGTAGTAAATCAGTGGGCATCAAAACGAATTAGGCGTTAGATGGCAAACCGAGAATATATATTAAGTAAATTCATATGAACGGAATTCAACGGATACGTTCAGTCTTTTCATTCTTAAAAAAACTGTTTCACTGTGACGAAAGCGATTAAGCATGTGATATTTCATCTTGTATTTCTTGTAATGCTAGACTTCGCTACAAATAGTAAAACTCGTGTCAAATATAAAGTTTCAGACTTTCAGTTTGATATTATTAGAGACTTGGTGTATACATCAAAATTCAGAAAGCACACATGCAGCAATGCAAATTCTTTTGAATACAGTACTTCACTTCTTTCAGTCCAAAAACATAATATTGTTGAAATCATAAATAGGGAATTAAATTTGTTTGGTTGTTGTTGTTGTTGTCATTGTTGTTTATTACTGTTCAATAAAAGAGGCAATGAAGAGTTGGTTTTCCACTAGCGAATTTTCTTGCGCGAAGCGACCTTTTTCCTTTGTTGGTATCACTTATTACATCAGCAAGACGTATCAAAATGGATGTCGACAAAGGAAAAAGGTCTCTTAACTCTTTCTCGACAGGCCGGTTTCGCATTACATGTCGATTTGTGCGGAAAAATTCGCTAGTGGAAAACCGGCTTAATAGAGGGTATAATAAAACGCATTTAAACGTACCTTTACTATAGGCTAATGACTCGGCAAAATTACCAAACAGTCAGCAAAAAGATCCCTCACACCCCCCCCCCACTAGAAGAGGGTTAGCGCCGCCCCTGATTATCATACGCACAAAAATTTTAGCAACTTTATTGAACAACGTTCAAGCCACAAGAGAGCGAACGGGACTCTAAAAGACTAAGACCCATACGAAATTGTCGCCTAAGTTCATCCAGACGAATTACCCGTCTCTAGTATAAACACAGCCAATGTTAGTACACTATTTTGAACTTTCATTCTTTGCAGACCCAGTTTCAGGGGAAAAATTGACATCTATATTGCTTGTGTTTATAACTGGTTCACAAATCTTGGTGGATGAATTCAAAATTGAATTCAACAATGATTCAACAAAATCTCTTCTGGAACCTGACAGTTGCTCCAATAAGGTTATTTTGCCAATTTGTCATGACGGTTATGCTAAGTTCAAGAAAGCATGCCAGTCATTGTTAGCTTGGTGTAGTCAAGGTTATGGAAGGTTTTAGGTTTCAACAATTCAACGTGAAAGGTTAATGTTTAACGTTGTGTTATATTGGTTTGTTCCTCAAAAGTTTACAATTTTGGACCATTATTGAAATTGTGGTAGAAAGACTGAAAGATACATGGTAAATATATATTAAAACATGATCAATACTGTATTTTAGTTTCAAAAAGTTGTTACAGTACAAACAGTACAGTACACATCACTAATAACCTATCACTGGTATACAGTATGTCACCATTAAAGAATGTATATATATATTTCAAAATAGAATCTATGGTAGCTGCAGGTTAATATTTACAAGAAATTTATGTAAGAATTACAGTATTTGTATCTTGAAATATCTTGTCATATTTACAGCAAATAGTGTTTTGAAAATTTGCACAAAAATTCAAGTAACTGTACCTTTATCATTTTATTTAGCTATCTTTAACAAAAATGTTAAAGAAATTGTATTAAGGCCCATATGTGCAATTTTTATTACGACTTTAGATGCAATCGTCTTCTGATAAACGTGAATAAGTTGCAGGGTTATGAATGTTCAGATGACATTACATATATTCAGAACACTCATCAGGAGCTTAGCCAGCCTGAAACAAGTGGGGGTTTAGGGCATAGATATAGGAGATCTAGATTGCTAATGCATACCTAGCGCAGGTGGGGCCTACATGATAAATCCAAGATGGCGGTACAACAGGGCAAAAAGACTATATAAATTCTATTATGAAAATCAGGATTTTTGCATTTTTTGCCGTCACATTGTTTTGAAACTTATTCGGTCAAATTTTATGGTAAAGAGAAACTTACCGCGAAGATGTTGAGCATATATACGATTGAATTGGATGAAAACTCGCAAAATTATCCATCGATAAAAGTTTGTGTATAGTACTGATATAGTACTATATATGTAACTTGTACAGTTTTGCTTTAATTTTTGCTCACTATTTGCATAAAAAGCAAATTATAATAGACCATAGGTGATAGACCCTCATCCAGTGCTCTCATCAGTTTATTTCTCTAACAAGCAAGGAGGGGGGGGGTACATAACAGTTCATTTTTCATAATTATGAGGACAGAACAGATGATGATGAGAGATGCAAATATAAAACATCATTCACAATGCTAGATGTTAACATAGCGCAAGTTTTCGGGCAATAAAACGCTCCGAATGAGCAACTGACCATTTTACACGAACTTTTATCGCTGGATAATTTTGCGATTTTTCATCCAATTCAATCATATATATGCTCAAAATCTTCGCGGTAAGTTTCTCTTTACCATAAAATTTGACCGAATAAGTTTCGAAACAATGCGACGCAAAAAATGCAAAAATCCTGATTTTCGTAATAGAATCTATAGTCTTTTTGCCCTGTTGTACCGCCATCTTGGATTTATCATGTAGGCCCCGCCTGCGCTATAGGTATGCGTTAGCAATCTAGATCTCCTATATCTATGGGCAATGACTTCCTTGCCTGCGCACAGGCATTGCTCTGGGAACGAGCTTTATAGTCAGACTGAACACTTTCCGAAAGAGTATACAGGGTGTCTCAAAACCCCCAGAACTACTGAAGTAACGTACTGTTAGAATTTGAATGCCTCAGCACTCTGCTGAACCCACACGTGCACAAAAGTTTGACATAAGTAAACTTTATACAGTATTCTCCTGATGATTTGCACAAACTTTCCCCTTGATCTTGTCAGTTAAAATCACTTGCTTTTCAATAATTCGCTTTAAACAATAGTCGTTGTATAGTTAGATCCTTGCGTTTCATTTGCAAGTTGACAGATGTTGATTTGATAATTCCTAGTATCATTTAAAACGGAGTTTATTGGATGAATATAAAAATGAAGACCTGTGTAAGTATTTCCTACTTCCTGTATTACCTTCTAAGTTAGCACTCCTGACTCCACTGGGATCTTCAAAGTTACACGCCATCAGCGAGGCTCCTTCCAAGTTTGCTCGTTGCATACGAACGCCACTTAAAGAAGCTCCCTGTACAAAAACAAACATTTTGATGTTTGTGGTGTTACTCCGAGTATGCATCCACACCGCGCAAGCTGAAACATTTGCCGGACCACGATGGGAATCGAACCGTGACCTTTGGGATACAGGTCGACTAGTATCCCAAAAGTCGCGGGTTGGATTTGGGATACCAGTCGACTATAGTATCCCAAAGGTCGCGGGTTCGATTCCCATCGTGGTCAAGCTAACTTTTCAGCTTACCCGGTGTGGATGCACACTCAGAGTAACATCACAAACATCATATACACAAAAAGTATAAAATATTTTGATATCAAAATCCCGAAACGGTTTCTGTAAACGTCACCGTTAAATCACATGTTGGGAAATCTTTCATATGAACAACCAGAATATAAATACAGCAATTGCTAATCCTAATCCTCCAAAATCCTAAACCGTAATCAATGAGATATGGTCTGAAAACTTGACAGAGATATGATCTAAAAACTCCAAGCGTCTCTATAATGAGCCACGATTTTATGTTGTGATGGCTTCGCCATGCACAAATCTTTTGACATCTTGTTTATTAATACTTTACTAACAGTACGATTGAGTGATTCGATAAGATGATGACATTGATCTGTGCACAAGTCTGCATAAACATGATCATAGACCATATCTTGTTTGAATTTTCTTTAGGCCAACCTTATCAATACTCCCAATCTAACCCAAATACTAATCCTGATTCAAAAACTGGTCCAATCCTTGATCTGAATCCTAAGACTAACATAAATATGACTGTGCACTGAAATTTAATTGTGGCGTCATCAGTGAACTCTAATAATAACTGGAAGGCTAACTCCTATGATGAAAGTCTATGATTCGTTGAAGCCGGCGCGCGGGAAAATCAGCTTTCAAAAGGACTAAGGAGAGTTTCGAGGAGTGAAAAAAATTCTGTCAAAAGTTTGTTTTCGAGCACAAATTTGCAAGAAAAACACTTTTCCCATGGGAATACAACAATGACTTGGGATTTAAACCAAGTTTCCGATTAGTTCCGACTGTTTTACATCTCTCTGCAGCAAAAAGTAAGGAATTTTGCTTTTGTATTTTGAAAAAATGACGTAAGTTTGGATGTGCCGAAGGAAATCTCTCCGTTCAACTAAAAAATATATACTATAAAACATTTTGACAGTCCCAAAACTTATGTTGTACAATACCCCAGGTATTGTTATTGATCCTGAGCTTTTAGTCCTTGTTTTAGTCACTCTTAAACATAAATAAATTGGCGTTTTTCAAGTGATGTTATTTTCGTCATCGGCATCTTGTTGGCCACTATGAGCACTTTGAATATGGCAATATTTTTGTCAATTTTCAAATGCTTTTTTTTCGACCTTAAAACGCTAAATCTTCTTGAAACTTCGCATACAGATGTATTTTGCATGGGTATAAAAAATTCCTGAGGTATGACGTCTTAGTTTTATCTTAAACTTCCAAAAACTCAGAAAAAGCAGCCTAAAACGCGCGGTTTTTCAGACCGTTCATGCTTATGGTCGTGTTTTTCGCATTTTTTTTGCTAATTCGTGATTTGTTTGCTTTGCGAATATTAAATTCATTTATCATACTACTGATATAAATTAAATTTGGTAGTATAACTAATGTTTTGGGGCAAGATTTTTCTGATCAAAAAATGTGCATATTTTGAAAAAAAAAATTAAAAAGGACTGGGTCTACCTACAAAAAAAGCTTCAAGCACGGCTTCAACTTCCCCCCCTGACTTAGCCTTCCAGTTATTATTAGAGTTCACTGGGCGTCATTTTGACCCAACCTAGTCCCCAGGGCATTTCGCCTCCGCGGCTGAAGATCGGTGAAAATGGCCCTGGGATCGGCTGGTCAATTCTACAATCCCATTGGTCTGTTCAAAATTAATTCTAATTAATTCATTCTGGGGACTAGGTTGATTTTGGTCTTTTCACCCCAATAATGCACAAGGCTATCCCTTAATTAATTAACAAGTGAAATCGTCTGGCGTTAGACAGAATAAAATAACCTGCCGTTGGAGTGAAATATAGTAAAGTCAGGTGCATTTGAGCGCATTGCAGCTTAATGGGTTAATTAATAGTTAAGTACTTCAATAAATTACTAAGTAATACACGTATATGATATTTTATATGTCAATGTCCTTACATCGATATGAGCTCCTGACAAACACGATCGTTCAAAACAACAGTTCGAAAGGTTAGCGCCAGCTAAATCGGCTCTTCGTAAGTTCGCCATCTTGAAATTGATATACCGTAGATCAAGACGGGATAGGTCAGCACCTTCCAGATTGATTCCCTAAATACAAAGACCCATGTCCATGTTGATGATCCTATACTTTTCATTTATGTTTGTTTATCATTGGAGTTTTGGGGGCATGCTCGCCGAGAAAATTTAGAAATTATCTACAGTTTCGGAAATGGCTTTTCCTTCGTTAATTCTGGGAAAGATTTAGCATGCAGAAACTTTCATGTTGTTCATCTTGCATTTCAGATAGCGAAGAATCCGGCATCTTCGTATTTAAGTTTTTTGCATATCGTTTGCAAAAATCACCTGAATCCAACAAGTACAGTAGACAGGTGGTTATTTCGAAGACTGAAAGTGGTACAGGGGGAATTAGTGCCTAGTTAATCCTACCTGACAGCGGAGTTCACAATTTGAAGGCGTTGATAATAATATCCTGACAAACTCCTGTCTTGTAAGTGGCTTGTCTTCATCTTTATCTGTATCCTAGAAAGGATTTACAGATTGTGGTTTTACAGATCGATTTAGGCAAATGCTAAATTGGACAGATAATAGTAAACCTACCAATACTTCCAGGAAGCATGCATGGGTGTACGTATTATAATACTATAATAATCAAATATTTTCAATTCGATTTAGAATGGCATTTAAGTTGGTGTAAACTCTGTAAAGGATTTCCATCCACTAAAAAAAGAAGTGCTTGCCTTAATTATTTCCTCGAGTTGTTCAGCCACGCCAGTCAGTCCGAAAAACTTGGCTTCTTCCAGAATTCCAGATGGATTGACACCTTCATTCAAGATGAGTTTACCATGACGAAGATAGTTGAGTAATGGAGCAAAATAGTCAGGACTGCGATCAATAAGATATGCTCCAGTGTGGTCTCTTGCACTTTTCCAAGATTCTATAGACATACATAATAATCATGAAAAATTATTAAGGCCTGTTCACACCAACTTGCAATTTCTAATGCGATTTTCTTCTTCTGATGCATGTGAACAAGTAGAGGAGTTACAAATGTTCTGAACTTATGTACTAGAGGTGTGCATCGGATCGGATTGGACGTTTATAATCCGCCAATTGGCTAATGTTTAAAATCCGATCCGATCCGAAATTGTCTAATCCGAATCCGATCCGAGTTGTGATACAGAATTTCAATCCGATCCGATCCGAAGAATCCTTTAACAAAATAAATTTCTCATTCAAGTTGAAACGTTTAACCAAATAAATATAAAAACAAGAAATACATGTCAAGAAGCTGACAAAGTGACATTCAATTGAAGTATCAAACGAAAAATGCAGCAATTAACAACCGCGATAATGCTTTGGATAAATGCATGGATAATTAATTCTTGCAATAATGCGCGGAAAATGGACGACTTGCGCTTTAGACTAAATTTTAATCTAAGTAACAACAACGAAATCTATCACCACAGCTAGAAAGAGCGTCTTGGAATTAGTAATATTACAAAGTTTGGTTGCAAAATGTTGTAAAATATGGAAAATATAGCCCTTCAAAGTTGGCAAATTTGTATTCTTTTGTATTACGTGCGTGAATTGGTAACTAAATTAGTTACCAATTTCTGCACGTAATAGAAATGTATACAAATTTGCCAACTTCGCAGGGCTATATTTTCCGTATTTTACAACATTTTGCAACCAAACTTTGCAGTGTTTTCTAATTTTGATAACTTCTTTCCAAAAATATCCTTTGTTATTCCCAGATTAAAAATTTTTCTAAAGCGCAAGTCGTCCAATTCATTTTATTTCGAATATCGAAGTCCGACTACGAAACAACTTTATCAATCCGATCCGATATGTATATTTTTGTTCCAAAATCCGAACGAATCCAATCGGATCGGATTCGGCTTTGGGTCGGATTTGCACACCTCTATTATGTACCTTCATCTGAACATTCATAATTCATCCACTTGTTCACATGCGTCAGAAGAAAAAAATCGCAGTAAAAATCACAGCAAAAATTGCAGGACTAGGGTAAACAGGCCTTAATTAAAAGGTAGACTGCTCTGATCAATTGTATTTAACATGATATATTAAGAAGCTTAACTCTGGCTTAAACTAATATCGATCATTCTGCTCTTTCCATTTCTAGGCATCATTTGGACAGTAAGTCAGTACTAGAGGTGTGCATCGGATTGGATTGGATGTTTATAATCCAACAATTGTCTAATCTGATCCAATCCGAGTTTTGATAAAGAATTCCTACCCGATCTGAAGAATCCTTTAATAAAATAAATTTCTCATTCAAGTGGGAATATTTAACCAAACAAATATAAAAGCAAAAAATACATGTCAAGAAGCTGAATTGAATTACCAAACGAATACTGCAGCGACAACCTTGTTGTCGTGGATAATTAATTCATTTTATTTCGAATATCAAAGTCCGATCAGATTACGAAACAACTTTATCAATCCAATCCAACCTGAAATGAATATTTTTGTTCTGAAATCCCAACGAATCTGATCGGATTCAGATTGGATTTGCACACCTCTAATCAGTACTATATACAGTATACAGGGTGTATCAAAATAAACGCAATTCATCTTTTGTGCTTAATAACTTTCGAAATACTATTTCTAGTTAAACGCTTTTAGGCTTACTTCAAAGCCTGTTCTTTTCTCTTTCAAACAAACTATTATCCTTGTCTCCAATGCTAGTAATAATTGCACAGGAAAAAATTTAGTAAAACCTACCATTTTTAGTTGCTGCTTAATTATGCAAGTTTACTATGTTATTGTTTAGTCGGTTTAAATGTTAGAATTTTCTTCTTTAAACTTTAATGTTGTCGTCACTACATCTGGAAAACCACGTAAGAACAAATTAAAAGTATTTTAGAAGAGACCAGGTTGTTTGAAAATCCTAAACGAATGCTAAAAATCATAGAATCAAAACATTCTGGTGTCTGAGCCAGAGTGTCATCGAATTGCGATGTAATGTAAACAGAAATTATAGCAAGTTGATGTCAGTCAGCTTAGATGGTCCAAGCCAAAATTATATCGCATTTGAAGTTTCAAACTGTGTTAAAAATAGTGGAAGAAAAGCCGTAATTATACTTATTCTTACAATCCATTGATTAAAATGCAACATTTTTTTGTTTTAATGAAAAAATCAGTTATTTTCATGAGAACGATTTGTTATTCCATCTCAATTTTTTTAATCTCCAATCGCAATAACGTAAAGTATTATTACCCGCTAACCAATGAGTCAAATTTAAGAAACAACCCACTGTTAGAAAGCTGAATGGCTACGCTTTAAAATGAATGTAAACTTTAACGTTTTCGTCTATTATTTGTTTAGCAATTTACATTTCAGTCGAGGATTGCGCTTTTTTTGATACACCCTGTATATAATTATATGAAGGGTTACACAGTCACATAGGTCCTGCAAATGGTCTATTACTGCATGCCAAGAATCAAAACTTGATTTCAGAACCATTCTCAGTGATATCAAAAATTAGTTTCTTATTTATTCTGACACTGCATGCAGTGTCAGAATATGCACTCACTACCAATTCCATTGACTTGATAGCTCAATGTCTAGAAACATGAACATGTGAGTTTAAATCTCACTTGACACAACAAATTTTGCAGTTGTGCTACAGAATATGATTGAAACTAGTTTTCAAATTTGATTACATGTAGAATATCTGTAACTCACTTTGTGATGAGAACATCTTTGCTAGCATACTCTCTGGATCACTTGCAACTAATGTTGCCCTGGGAGAAAAAGTTTAGAAATGAACTTTTTATCATATTCACATATTGAATGCAAATGTCAGTGCTGATCGATGATTAGGAAATTTTGTGTGCATTTTTTAAATAGTTGGAGAGTTGTTGATTATAAATAACGAATGTTTGTGAGTGCAATCATAAGAATGGCAGGACTTAATTTGGGACTTTATTAGTCCTGTTGTCTGTGCCTTCAATTTCTTATTGTAAAACTAATAAAAAAATTAAAAAAAGAATATTTGTTTAAGGTGAAAGAAAGAAGGAATTTTCCACACCTCCTTGACAACTGAAATGACAACTTGACAATGAAATCATACGAGGCAAATTCACACTTTGCGCCTTATAGATAATAGAAAGATAGTTGTCAGGTTTTTGTTACCTTGTTGTAGTAAAATGTCTTCCTCCAACATTGAGTGTGATCCAGTCCTCTGATGAATCTAGCAGATAATGAACAGGGACCTTTTAGGTTGGGAATGCATGCCATGTACCCATCAGATTTTCAAAACTAGAGTATTAATGTCTCAGTTCTGAAACGTTCCTATCTGCCCTACCTTTAAAACTCCCTCCGCCAGAGACATATATTACATCATCATCTCTAAAAATAAATATAATTATATAATATAAGTTCATACAATATAAGTTCATACAACATTTACAGTACCGAATATGTGAAACAGTTATATTAATAGTACATTCACTACATTTCATTTTTATAAGATCTTATCATACATGTGTTCTGCATTATACTATTTAAGTAAAAAATGTATTTATAGTACCGTAAGTGCAGTAGGCTTATCTCAGGCCTGTTTTATACGTTGAATTGTGGTTGCGTCGAATGCAACACTAGATATAAAGCTTCATTATTTATTCTTTGAATTGCATTCTACGCGACCGAAATTCGACTTATAAAACAGGTCTTAAAGATTGCTGTAATTTCTTAATACCTCACAAATTGAAGATCATCTATAAGAGCACCCTTACTGGAGTGGAGTTTACAGTCATTGATATTAAGCTTTCGTCCAGCAAGCAAACATAACTCTTCAATAGTGTTGGGGACATGCACAATCTAGAGTTTAGATAAAATATTACAAACACGTAAAAAACCTCTAGAGTTGTACGGGGCCAGAACATTTTGAAATCGATGCTCCCTAAAATCATACGATATTTCTGGCTGGCACTTATATATTTTATATAAAGAACGAAGAACTTAAAATTCTGACTACGAAGAACTTAAAATTCTGACTAGAATACAAAATAGCCAGACAATGAAAATTCTTAGAACACGCCCAACTTATTTATTTAAATTCAACTTGAATGAAAAGAGACATATCCACTCAATTCTAAAGTAGTGATTCACAAACTGTCAATTGTCAAAATATAGTGACATTCAAAAGTCATCAAAACATACTTTGCCGTTCTTTGAACATCCAGTTTTGAAGAGAGTAACACGTCTTGGAATCTTAGAATCCATTTTCTACTCGTCCTTACAAATCATGACATTGTCATTTCCTGGGTGTAAAATATTAAATCCCTTAAGTCAGCGAAACAGAAGCTTGCCAAAATCCAAATTTTACGCCATATTGGAAACCTAACCCATACTTCATGTAACGTGGCTTGTTATTCATTATACAAGTCATAATTACGTCATTATTATTCTTTTTAAAATTACGTCACACACACGACTTTTGATCTTGGAGCCTCGTTCTCATTAGTAAAGTACGCAAGGTGATTGGCTCACGATCCATGAGAGCGAGGCTCCCAGGCCAAATGACGTAATTATCCAAAGGGTGTATTGGTGATTGTAAGGTCTGACTTCTGGATGGGAGGGGGTACAATATTACACACGTAAAAATCCCATATCTTCTCTACACACGCAAAAATCTCACATCTTGTAACAAGTCTGCCAACAAGCCGTCAACAAGTTATCTTCACACTGCTTGTCCCAAGTTGTCAACAAAAGTTTGAACAAGCTGTTAACAACTTGTAACAACCTTGTTGATATTATCAGACTTGTTGCAACCAACAAGTCCGATGCAGTCATGATATAACAATATTGTTACAACCTTGTAACATTCTTGTTATATCATGACTGTATTAGACTTATTAGAACAACCTTGTAACAAGTCTGATAGTGCTATCAAGCTTGTTGCAAGTTGTTAACAGCTTGTTCCAAACTTGCTACAAGCCCAACGTTGTCACTCACAACTTGTTGACAAATTGATGAATTGTAGGACGATAACAAGTTGTTGGAACAAGTCTGTTGAGCTCAACAGGGTGCAAGTTGTCAACAAGCTGGGAACAAGCAGTGCGAACACATCCTGTTGACATTGCTACAAGTCTGCTGCAGGATTGTTATTACAACTTGTGCGTTTTTAAGCGTGTACAAGGCTCTGTTCCACACGGGACGAATTCGGAACCGTCCGTCACTCCCCATTGTTAACTAAACCAAAACGTTTACGCAAAAAGATTCATGAATATTTTCTCACACGCCACCACGAAGATGACCCTTGGAACGAGGTTGTTGAAGATAATCAAACTTTTACTTCGCAGACTTTTACTAGTCACTGAAAAACTTTGTAAAGTTCATATTGCAATACTTTTAAATAATATAAATACATGTTAAAATTTTGATTATTATCCATACGCGTGATATATAACATTGTTCCCACATCCTAGAAGCTGCGCAACATTTATACTATCATTGTAAAATAGTGAAGAATTATTTAAAAAATATGCCAATATGCGAAAAAAACTATTTTGCACAGCAGTACAGAATCCCATTGCCAATTTGAAAAAATAATGTCTGATATGTTTTCGTTTAAATGAAAAGTGAAGTATGCATATACATGTTCACGCTAGAAAGAAAATTTAAATCTAAATTATACATCAATATATGGCAATCAGGAACGTAGCGACCGGGCTGTGTGTTTGGGGGAGGGGGTGGAGGAGCTGGGTGGGGGGATATTTGTTCATGAGTAATCTCAGACAATTTTCTAGGTGACTTAAGCAGATTTTCAGGTAAATGTAAGAGCACTGACAGGAAAACGTGGAAGTTAAAAGTGAACGCATTCAACCTGAAATGCAAAATTCTAGTTGCATTTTCTGGGCTTTCTGAGGGTATAAATATTGAAAATATTCTCGGGGGAGCATTTCGCCGAACTGTTGTAGTAGATTTATCCCGGTATTCCTTATGCTAATATATATTCTTTCGAAACAAAAAGTGCCTGCTACTTGAATGTACTCATGAAAAAAACCCCGCTACACCCCCAATGACACGCTACGTCCCTGATGGCAATGGATTCCAGCTATAGACGAACTTTTGATCTAGACAAGAACAACGAAATCCATTACCACAGCTAGAAAGAACATCGTAAAATGAGTAAAATTGCAAAGTTTGGTTGCGAATTGTTGTAAAATGAGGAAAACATAGCCTGTGAAGATTTCGCAACCACAACTTTGCAGTTTTACTCATGCTAAGATGCTCTTTGAAGCTGTGGTGTTGGATTTCGTTCTTCTTGCCTAGATCAAAATTTAGTCTATAGCTGGAATCACCCACACCACAGAATACTACACAGAAGTCCATCTCCATTGTTTTTAGCGTAAGCTCTATTCGTCATGATTCGTCACTCAGCAAGTACCGTAAACAGAAGCAGTCACCCCCCTGGAAATACTAAAAATGGCGCATGTCCAGGGGGGTGACTGCTTCTGTTTACGGTACTTGCTGAGTGACGAATCATGACGAATAGAGCTTACGCAAAAAACAATGAAGATGGACTTCTGTGTAGTATTCTGTGCCCACACAGTCATTTAATTACACACTTTAAACAAGATGCAAATAGGTTTCAATAAGAGTTACAGGCCAGCAGATGGTGGTTGACTTAAAAAATGTTGACACTTTTCGGACGAAAAAACTTAAGCTTACATTCCAGGGCCACTGCATACGATAAAAATATATTTTCTCAGTCTGGTAACTGCTGGTTCATACTACCTACGAAACTCTCTGAAGCTTCTGTGACCGAGGGTAGCGGACCACCACGTGCTGCACGATGTCGCTTAGTGAAACCCACCTATACACATAGGCGTACGAGATAGGGGGGGAGCAAGAGGCAACTTCCCCTCATTCGGGCAGATTTACCAGAAAATATGTTAACTTCAAGTTATTTCTTTACAATAGAGCCTTTGCACTCATTCGCCAGGGATCAACTCAACAAAAGCCGCCATGGCCATGTTGGTGCTCCAGACAAAAGAAACTAATTAAAATTCTTTTCAATTGGAACACCAACATTCTCCATAATAATTCGGGCAAACTTTCAACTGCCTCCTCGGAAGGTACAATCCCCATACGCTTATACCTATACTTAATGAAGCACTTGTGTAATGGATCCACATTGACTAAACAATTTACGGTTCTAAAGCCTAGTTCACATAAAAAATTCTTCAAACCAATTACAATCATTTCAAAAAATATTTTTCCATTACATTACCAGCATGTAGATAGGAAATAGGTCAAAATAAACAACTGTCGCTGATATAATAAAACTGGTTGTTTTATAAGAAAAAGCCTTTATATATATAACATGGTGGGTGGCTTTTACTCGACATATGAGCAACTGAATTATATACTTCATGCATAGTTTCAGAAAGGTTTCCTTGTTTACCTACTAAGGTGGACTATTTTGAGATAATCCGTATGTCTCTGCTAGAATACGACCTATATACCAATACACCGTGAGCCAATCACCTTGCATAATTTACTGATGAGAGCGAGGCTCCAAGACCAAAAAGTATGTCTGACGTAATTATCGAAAGGCTGTATTCACAAATTTTAAAATACAAATGGATCCATTACAAAAGCTACAACATGAAGTAGTTTCTATTCAATTTAACCCTCAAATTGCGGAAGAGCGAAAAGGATTCCGTCTTCGTTTAATATTTTTCATGTAGTTCACCATTCTTGAGCCTTGATGCTCATTGTAATTGACCAGCGTACTTCCAAAACATAAAGCCGCCGCGCCAGTAGAGTTCTCTGTCTGCGCACATAGTGGTAAGCGGACTAACACAGACACGACAGCAGCTTTGTTTCCATAGCAGATCTCTGTTGTAAGTGGCGAGGGTTTACTCTGGTAAGAAAAGTTCACAAGATGAAGTTATATGTAAATAAACTAGCGTGCGTGTGTGTGTATACTGCAGGAATAGAACTGCACGTGGTCGACGAATGCAAAAGACAAGATAGATCCAGACTACTGAATGGCTGCAGAAAGTTGAAAGCAATGGAGCGAGGCTACCTCCAAAGTCTAAAGGGCTAACTCCAAACCAAAATACACACTTGAGTAACTTGACGTGTAATTCAAAACTAACTGAGTTGAAATACGAATTGTGGAGTTTACTGGCTAAACTCCAAAAATCATTCGGAGCTAACTATAACTCCAAAAATCATGAAAAAACTAGGTATCTAAGCCTGGTTTTATTGGCTAATGGCACACTTGGCATTTAAGTCTTGTTTAAAGGCTAGATTTTGTTCTGCAGTCATGCTCTGTTGCCGGCATGTAAGATGGGCTCTGGGTACGAGAATGTGGCATAGCCTAGCTCCATTTGAAGATTGGCTACCTCCACAAAAATAAACTCTACAGGTACTAGTTAGCCTGATTTTCAGACGGCCACTCAATGTCGTTGAGATGTCGAGTGACCGTTTGAAATTCAGGCTACAGACTATTTCAAATCGTATGATCTTGAAAAGACAGTCGCAACGTAATGGTAGTTAAACAATTATTACAGTCGTGGCAATGGGAGTGTCCCTAAAACCAATTCATTTGATGAGCTCTTTGATAAACTTCCTGTATGAATGCACCAATTACCTTTCGTTTTGGTTTGGTTTGCAATTGACCAATCATAAAGAGGCAGGAAGTGAGAATGATCAAACACAGGAAGTTGCCGGGCAATTGGTCAAATGAATTGGTAGGATATATTAGGAACCCTTGCATTGCCACGATTGTAAAATAAAACGAACCTTCATGGGTACATGACCAGGTTTATCTACACAGATGGGTACAGGGGCAAATGGACGGTTGGTCATATACACCAATTCAACATTTCGTCGCTGCAAGGAATAACAAAGAAATATTAGTCACACAAAACTTAAAGAATTAAGAAACACTTGATAGGTTTCTTTGGCACATTTGCAGATTTTCTAATTTCTCTCCAGAAAAAGTATTTATATCTCACTTATGGCACTTGTTCAGATGTGACTCTTATTCACATGAAAAAGCGTGTGTATATGTCACTTTGTAATCCTGTTGTAATTAGTGTCTAAGGTTGACATTCTGCTCAAAGGAGAAAATCACAGAAATGCTATGGCAACCCTTTGGTTTTCGGAGTTTTTTTAAAGATCAAATTTGGCGTCAAACTACCTATTAAAACCTGCAGAAGCATTATCAAGTCATAACAACTTGTTCATCTAATTAGATCCGTCTATCAAGTATACTAGAATCTCCTAAATCTGATCTGTTGTTTCATCCCCAGCGATTGCGTCAAAACATGCCACGTTAACACTCTCGACTTACTCTAGTTCTTCTAAATGTATCAAAGAATGATTTGGCTTTCCAGAATGCCACTGCAATTAACAACAAACCAACAAAACACCTGAAATCAAAAATGAGACAAAAATGTTATACTAAACGAACTTTCTACCGGATAGCTATTAGACTATTAGATCTCAAATTCATTAATAATTCATGAGTATAGTAGCTCACATGATGATAACAATGGATACCTGGTGAAGTATATTGATCCAGTCCTAAGACTGGATCAATATTAATTCAGTCCTAGGACTGGATCAAAATTAATTCAGCTCACTTTAAGTCGTGATTTATTAGTATGAGATGTCATTTCAAATCCTCCAGTTGGGACTGGACTAGATCAAATTGCGTGGACTTGAAATCTAGTCCAGTCCTCATAGTCGGATTTGAAATATTAATTCTAATAAACAGTTTTTCTTAGAGGTCCACTAAGAGCCGTTTTTTTATCGATCTAGTATTAGAAAGGTTCAGACTTGACTTCCACTACCGCTCACAAGCTTAATACGCATAATTGATTGGCTAATCGAATAGATTACGTTGGTGGAAGTCAAAATCTGAACCTCTCAATCACTAGAACAGGGGTGGATTTATAGGGGGGGTGCACAGGGGTGCGCACCCCTGTTGGCCTTGGTCAACGGGGGAGCAAAAAATCAAATTCAGAAAAATGGCACGATTTCCAAGGTTTTTCCTTTTTTGAAGTCAAACTGAAACTCATTACTCAATGCCCATATTGCAGAAAATAGCATCTCTAGGGTTCTAATTTTCTGCGGGCATACCCTTGACCCCCCCTAGGGAGCTCGTGCCTTCGATGGTTGAGTCGTTAGGAAGCCAATTCATTTAAATATTCTCCCACCACTCCTTAAAGAATTATTTAGAAACACTTGGCTGCTCGCCCATGCACCTCCATAGAAAAACCTTGCTGGATCCACCCCTGCACCAGAAGACTGCAGTGTTTGGTAGCAATTTTATGACAGGAGTAGAATCCCATCCTTGAGAACTAAGGCGGACAGGTGGAATATGATCAAGAACTTACGCCAAGAATATAATAAAGAACTGCAAAAGATTAATTCCACCCTCATTTGGTTGGTGAACGGATACCTGAAAAAAAGAGGATATTCAATTCAGAATCCTGAAAACTCCCTGTACATTAATTAGAATCTGCAGATAACAATGAAGACCCGTTGTTCCTAGCTGGTCTAGAACTCGCATCATCGAGTTACTACTCTACCGCTCTCGTGTACTTTCCAAACTATCTCTTCTACTAACTATGCAGTAATAAATATAAATGGTGTTTCCAGAAAGCAAAACGTATTATATACAGTAGCCATGCAAAACTACATAGAACTTAAACTACTTTCAAACTTACAGAAACTGTTGAATATGGTGTCAGATTGTAAACATAGATCTTGAAATAAAAATCTTCCGAACCAAATGGATAATCGTCCTTAGAAAACTTCTTTTCGTATTGTGACGATAAGTCTACGTTGGTTACCCAATAAAATTCTTGCAATGAGTCTGAATTGAGAAAAACAATGATTTAACTGATTTTAATGATTTTATTCATCCTGAGCACAACCAAGTCATATACTGTATGGAGATTAGTGACGTTTTCTGACTCCATTACCCTGTTTTCCATTTACTTGTGACAGCGCGACCATCAACATGACTGAATCAATTTTAGGACCAGTTACACGATACCGAAGTCACTTGGTCCAACATGAACAAGAATAATGGGCTCATTGGCTCAAGAATAATGTCCAGTCTCATAAAATTTTGTCATGTGATCGCAATTTCTAATGTTAAGTCCCATTTCCACTCAAGAAAATTTTTCACAGAAAGAAAAGGTTGTAAAATGTGATTGGCCGACACAAATTTTCCGTCGGAAAAAAATTTTGAAGTTGAAAATCTTCAACTTTTGACAATGATATTTTCGGAAAATTTTCTGTGCGTGGAATATTTTCAAAATTTTCTTGAGTGAAAATGGGCCTTACCAATTAGCGAATCCGCGGTATCCTGTAACATGGTTAAGATGACGTAACCAGTGAGCTCCATATATACTGGAGTAGGAAGTCGAAATTGATGTCCAGTGCCAGTACCTTTTTATTGGTTTTGTTTGCGCGGTTAACATGAAACAGCCAGGAGTGTGACGAAATGTCGTGTTTTGACTTTTTTAGCGATACGATCCGTTAGAAAATGTTAGAAAACAAACTTACCACTGCCAAGAGATACATTCAACAATGCTGGATTGAGCGGGTTTCCCTTGGTAATACTCACTGTAACAACCGTATTCTTGTCAGACTGAAAGAAAATAAACATATTATACATTCAATACAGTTACACAGGAGCCTGTTCTTCAAAGCTGGACTAGCGCTAACACTGGGTTAAGATTTAACCCGCTGTTTTGGTTTGAGTACATTTGCACTTCAAAACACTGAAAAATAAAACTTCTATTGATCCAGACGTGAACTTACAGTCAGTCGGTGTTTTTAACAATATAAATGTTTTAAAATGTTAAAAACATTAAGTTTGGTGATCTTGAATTATGCTTAATTGATTTTCCTAGTTAGTTTTTTCAATTAAAAGGGCTGAAATGCGCCTTAAAAACCATCGTTCAACAGGCTGAACTGTGCCTTTAATGTTTTTGACAGTCATAGTGTCATCAAGTAGTTTTGACAAAGTGATGGTGTCTTTCGCTTCACTTTTTGATTATATCATTGAACTATTGAAGGCAGCCTTTCATGTATACAGTTCAGTGGCTTCACCGTTTGAGTCGGTCTTTCATGTGATAGAGTTCAGTGGATGTATCCCCTGAACTATTGAACTAACTACACGGGAGAGACAATTCGTGCACACATTGGGAGATTAGTTACGAACCTCGTTGGGATAACATATAAAATTGAATATCAGCTTATCAGAGACATTGATCCTGTATAAGTAGTCAGCCGTGAGTTTATCTAAGAAAATATCAATACAACATGTGAGCTGTGATCGAACTAGGGAATTTTAGAAAGTCAGTTTTTGGGAAAATGAAAACGTCACCCAGCCGCCCAAAGATAGGTCCATGTACGTAAAAAATGAAAAATATAGTAGGAAAAATATAGTGGGTAACCCATTTTCCCAGATATTTGATAGGCAGGCTTGGAGCATAGTCAGTCAAGATATAGCCTGGAAACTCTGCGACAGTTTTTATTCAATCTTTTCGTTCATGTTTAACCAAGTAATGTAAGTCCGTAATTCTATAATTAATAACTGGGTTAACACTTAATATTTAAATTTTCTTTACGCGTTCTATGATCTAATTGGGTTACTTTACAATTCATTTGGACATATAAAATAATAAACTCTAAGTTCTTCTGAGAAGTTTTTGTTTTGGTAAACCCAGGTGACCGCAAAGGTGATTTTGCGGTAACCCAATTTGGTTTCTGCCACAAAGCAATTTTGGACAGCCTGAATTGGAGCATAATGAAAGCTATGTATATTTGTGGTTTGCAATCAATGCCTTGAGATTTATAAAGATATTGCGGCCATGTTGGATGAAAACACTCCACATACAATAGTTGCTAATGAGATTCATTTGTTGGCTTCCCCTGGCATGGCCACCGTGACGTCATGTGCAAATCACGAACAATTCATCTTTATAATTAAAAAGAAAACATTTGGACTTACAGTAACAATATCCCCCATTAGTTGCATTTCCAACATACTGTCCTGTGTTACATCTAAAAAACGCGGCAACAATTTGACTCATAAGTATGAAGGTTGAAAAACCAGGAAAAGCATGTGAAAAAAAACATTTACCTATGGTTTAGAGTAAATTTCATCTGAGGAAATTGTTCATTGGGCCTTATGCATGGCAGGTTAAGTAACTGAAGTGTCCGTAATTTCTTTTAATTTTTTTTTTGAAAATCCCACTGTAAAACCATATCGTTCTAGGGCTTTTCGGGCTGACGAGAAGCCCTGGGAACGAGGATGCATCCATCCAGTCACTTAGGGGCTGTTCACATGCAGCCGGGCTAGCCGGGTTAACTGGGATGATTGGTTTAATAAAGCTCTTATCAAAGCTTTGAATAACAGTATAGAGTTCATTCAAACGATCTTTTATGGTCAGGAAAAAAAATTCGTGACACGATCTATTCCGGCTCAAATGAACAGCCCCTTAAGGTGGAGTTACACGAGCAACAAAATTGCTGCAACTTGCAACAAAATCTGATTTCAACGCATGGTTTCATCACAAGACAACATGTGCCGACATTTCTACTTAACATGCGTTGAAATCACATTTTGTTGCAAGTTGCAACAATTTTGTTGCTCGTGTAACTCCAGCGTTAGCGTTTTGATTTATATTATAGCATTTATGTAAAGGGTGCTTAATTAATTAGGGTAGGCAAACAGAAAAACATTTGAGGAAGCATCAAAATATTCAGATATTTTCAGGCCATTTTGGCGATAAATACTTAAGGTCAACCTCGCAAGCCAGGGTCTTTTACCTGCGCTCGGGCTCCGGCTTGCGAGGTTAACTTAAGGTATGCCGTGTTCTTTGGCCTAGTTCAAAAGTCATGCTTATTATGTGCCGAACTTAGTATAAATGACCTCATCTCATTGTTTAAGCTCATTTGCGTTCGGTTTGGTACATGAAAAGTTCGACGTTTGAACTGGCCCGTAAACTCAAGACAAAAATACCTACTTTTCACAGTGTTTTCCTTCGACACCTCTCATTCTGCATGTACAATCACCATTTGTAGGATTACAGGTATCTGCATGGCCGTTACATTGACATGCTATAACAACGAGTATTCAGTTCAACTGATGATGATGATAAACTTTATTTAAATTTTGACAACAGTTATAGTTGTAGTGGAAACATGGAAGGGAACTTCCCTTCGGTTAAAATCTACAGCCCTTTTTTAGATGAGGTTGGATCTACCACTACATTATAAACACTGGTATATGTTTGAGACGAGTGCCGAGAACGAGGGATGCATGCTATAATGTTGGCACCACTTTCCCGTTAAAATCTCCACCCCTCTAACAGACGAGGTTGGATCTAGTGCTACATTATAAACCGTGGTATATGTTTGAGATAAATACCGAGAACGAGCATGCTGTATATGCGGTATATCAAAGAGAACTGACTCAATCATGAAATAAACACAGATACAGGACTATCTAGAGCTGTTGTGCAAATGTAGATATTTCTAATGCACTGAATTAGAATGATCAGAATAATCTAATGTTATGTACTGAATTAAAATAATCTGATATACCTGATTAGATGTTCTATTAAAGTACGTAATTATATATGTTCTAATGTATACTCAATTAGAATGATCTAATGTACTTACGCATGCATTTGCCGCCATTATGTGGATTGCCAAAATATCCATCAGCACATTTATCACAATTTGCACCTGAATGTCATAAAAATACGACGTGTTTATTAGAAAACTCAACGCTCCCTTTGTTAAAGCTGAGCAACAATTCCCAAGTCCCGCACGAGGTTAGAACCCATAACATTCAGATTGCTATATATGGACTGATGCTCAGGCAGTCAGTTGAACTAATGACACTCAATGACAAGCTGAGGTAAATTCTGAAGTAAGCTTACCTGTGGTATGATCTCGACAACGTAGACAGACACTAGAGTTGACAGAACAGTTGCTATGACCATTACATTGACATACTAGAAGTTAAAGAAAATACATGGTTTACTCTTGCATTGCATACATATTAAGTTTACGGTTAGGGTACGGATTTGGTATAAGGTTACGGTCTAGATTTAGTTTTAAGTTAAGCTGTTGTGAAGGATTAGAATCCTCTCAAGAGTCAATCTCTTCATGGACGGTTCATGTACATTGTACAGTACTGTATACATTTCTCCTGAGTAAATTTCTGAATCTCAAACGTGTGGGCCCATGTAGTGTAGGTACCAGGTAGTGTTCTGCAATACGCTGCGGTATTTGGTGTGTAAACTAACTGAAGAAGATTAAGAACACTTTCATTGATGTTTCGCGCAAAGGACGTTGGTCAGGAGGTCGTCGAGAAGTTTTAATCTTCTTATATAGTTCACACACAACCCACGACAGCTTATTGTGTAATACTAACTATACTGAAACCCCACGTTTGAGATACATTTCAAGCAGTTCAGACACAATCCACGGCAGCTTATTTTAGTATAATGCCTACATTAGACCACAACTTTAGGTAACTTTTAGTACAATGCTTACATTGGACAACAACTTTAGGTAACTTGTCGAAGCATTTCCAGTAACTTACTTGGGCAATCAAAGAAATGCCAATACTTGTAGTTCGAAACATCTTTAGGAGCATGCGCACTTCCTTTGAGACATTGACCTGCGCCATTTCTCATCACACTCTCACTCCAACCACAGCTAGGGAGTGTCAGACAATTTCGGCAAGTACTTTTACTTTCACATGAAATATCTACAAGAAATCATGGAAGATGAATGTTTTCAACCTATTAACATACAATATTTCCCCCTTGATAATGAAAATCATCTGGCGTTAGACAGAGTGGAATCAGGGAGGATTTAACTTAATGAAAAATGAAAGTTTACTTAAGGTTAGTTTGGACTAGTAGGAATCTTGCATAGCAAAGTCTAAGTTCTAAAGGATTTGTGAAGTTTCCAAAGGAACTGACTCATTTGTGAGTCATTTCCCTCAAACATTTCTTACAAATCCTTCAAAACGATACTAAAAATGTACATATGCAGAAACAATCTGAAAAATTATTCCTTATATATAGAGGATATTACACGGCGGCGCGAAGATATGACTTTTATCTTCGAGTGGTGGTGAAAAGGAAATTGAAAAACGTCACGTGGTCGATATCTTCACTAGTGAAGATATGGAAAATATCTCACTGTGTATTTTTCTGTATCTCATTCTGTACTTAACAATTATTCGCCGATGGCGAGGTGATTATTGGTGAATAAAAACCGAGGCGAAGTCGAGGTTTTTATTCACGATAATCAGCGAGCTTGAGGTGAATAATTGTTTTAGTATAATTTCATAGATGATCATTTGGAAAAAAATACACATTTCTTCTTAATTTAATTGACAAAATGGCTACGGCTGCCATTTTGAAAATCGCTTAGGTGATTATCGCGTTATAATCACCTCAACGGCAACCAATCAGCGTGGACAATTTTCTTAATCACCTATGTAAATGTGTTTATGCAATAAAAATAGTTAACTTCTAGCACGAGTTGTGTTGTGGGTCGTTATAATATGTAAATTATGCATTTATGCAGGGTTCAATTTCATTGACCAATCAGAAGCAGTCTGTTGTCAGCGGGCGGGAGTTTGCCATTTGCTGTGCTCACGGGCTGCGCTCACTTGCATACTGCTTCTCACACTGTGCACTTGAGTTAGGTCTGTCCACCCGATAGTGTTTCCCCCTTGCCTGTGGTGGTGCCGGCTGCTTGCCGGGTTTTTGTTTTCAGGCTGCTTGCCTGTGCTTGCTGGCTGCTTGCCGGTCTACCTCCGGCTGTTTTTTGCCGGTCCCATGGGCTGCCTGCCTGCCCCCCCCCCCCGTGCTTATTTTCTGTTGTGTGTGTCCTTGGCACAGTGTAAATGGCGGGGGTAGTCCTTTTTGTCATCCTTGCTAGCAATGTCCGTGTTGTGTTCGTTATGTGCATTATGCCGCACCCGCTCGTCGGGCTTGCTCTCCGGCTAGTCCGGGTGATTTCTTTTAGATTGGTATCCTGCGTTATCCAGCGTTTTTCTTTTTGGTTTCCCTTTGGTCGGTAGGTGCATATAGTTCGTTGTGCTCGGCTTTCTATGCTTACCAGGTAAGATATCTCGTACGTTCATGTTACTATTTTATTTATTAATTCCGTTTCCACCTGTGGTGTGACGTTAGGTCTGTCCTTGGAGAGGCTAAGGCTGCGTCCAGACTGGATGCCCGGCACTGGTGCCCGGCACTTGTTTTGGCTCCCAGTTTGAACACGACGCTTTCAAATGAAATTGGGCACAGTGCCCAAGAACGGGCACTACCTCTAGAGGTAGTACTCAACAACGGCACTGTGCTCAACATGTTTTGTGAACCATTTTGAACATTGGGCACCAGTGCCGGACACTCAGTCTGAACGAGCCCTAATTCTCGGCATCATTGATATTAGTCAAGTCGGGATGCTGGGATGGCTGAAAGTTTCTTCTACCGAGAAGACAGCTGCGCAGAATGGAGTTCATCGTAAGCCGGCTTGCCGAGTAAACTAAGCAGCCGGAACCTCTCCAACAGAGCTACACCCTCCAAAGAATTGCTTGCTTAAGCTCGAGTGCGTTAGACGTTAATTATACTAATATATAATATTTACCTTTATCCGAACTTGTAGCAGTTATCCATTCGAAACACTGACCATAAGGATAGAAAACAACATACAGTCTATGATCAACACAACGTTGTAAGCTCTCACACCAAAGACAAGATGATTTGTCCGGAATGCAGTCCTTTTGTGATGTACGATCAGTGCATGGTGGCTTGCAATCTAGGTAATAGTAAAATTGTCACCATTGGTGAAAGGGTGGTTCAAAGGAACCAAAATATTTAAGGTCAGGGGGCAAGGACATAAACCTTAGCTAGGTGATATATGTATGGAAGTTGGTATGATATCATGTACAGTAGCAACACCAACGACATCGCCTTTTTTTATGTGCACGAGTACAACCAAATGCTATACAATCATATACCACTAAGTAGCACCATCTTTCATCAATCATCATCCACATTCATATTTTGCAACCAACTATTGCATACACCATGAGTTCACTTTTTCTACCTTTGGGTAATATAAAGCCCTGTTTGGGAGGGGTGATAAATAATATAAAGCCCTGTCTGTTGACCAAATGAATGCAGTATCTAGACCCGCATGAATGCTGTGTCATATTAATAATTACCTACCTTTTAGATTCAGAGGTTTGGTTTTATCACATCTATTATCCTTCCAGTAACAACCAGCTTCCTGGCAACTCTGACAGCCGGAATATAACGGGCAAATATCTTCAGACGACTTTTGGCATGTATCGCTTCCGTTCATCTGTGTCATGGGAAAAAAACCAAAGCAATGCTTACGAACTAGACAGTTAACTATTCTCGGGTTTGACGTAACGTGGGGGTCAATGATCTGTGTAATTAAGGGTAAAGCACGGTTTTTATATTTTTACAGTGGCGTGCTGGGTACTATTTTTCTGGAGGGGCCAGTGGGCTGTCAACCAATATGCGCCCCTATAATGTTACACTTGATAAACGAGGGCCGAAGGCACGAGCCGAGTGCCGCAGGTGCGAGGTTTGTCTAGGGGGGTCAGGGGGCATGCCCCCCAGGAAAATTTTTGAATTTAGAGTCTCTGAAATGCCATTTCCTGGACTTTGGGGGAAGATTTGGCAGACTGAATCTGATGGTCAGGAAACGGCATTATAATACGTGTCGAAATTTGCAGTTTGGTTAGAATTTAGTAGTAGTACTAAATTATGCAATGCGTTACTACTTCCAGCGATTGATCTAATCCCAATTCTGTTCTCTACTGATCTACTGTTCTGAGCACATTTACAACTTAAAGCTCTTTTATACAATAACACACGCACCCCACGCATATGCATTTTAAGGTTTCCTTGCCTGGCTGCCAAAAGGGCATGTTTCAGCATTATTTCATTATTTACATTACTCATGCTTCTTGTGCAAACAACTAAATTGCGTACACAACTTTACATCAGTTATCATAACTTCAACTATCTAATTTGCACCGCTCTCGTGATTCGTGAAGCATAATAAAGGGCATAATATAAGGGCATAATACCAGCAAAAAAGAGCATAATTCCCGTGAACGCTTCGATCGAAACCTGACCAATATTCCGGTAATGAGAAATTGCCTGTGATCACTGTGAGGTAGCAAATACGGTTAGGCAAAATAGTCTGTAATTTAATATATGTCGCCTATGCGCTTAGTCTGTTTTATACTGCATGTAGCCTATAAACACGTCTTTTCTTGGCGGAAGTAACCATATTTTTTCGAGAATGCGTTTTTCCCACCCTCTTTCAAAATTCGGCGCCCCATTTTCATTTTTGCGCCCCCCAAGAATTGCCAGCTGGCTGGGGGGGGGGGCTTTGCCCCCCGGCCCCCCCTGCCAGCACGCCACTGTATTTTTAGATTGTTTTATATTAGCTTCTATAATAGTCGGATAACTCATTTACATAAGACGCGATGACAGCCATTTTGTTTCTTTGTTGTTTTAGTTAGCCTCAGTTCAAAGATTGAACCCCCCCTTGCTAAAATATCACTGATTGAAAAAATTCCGCCTAGTGGAAAACGGCCTTAACTTAATTTCCATAGCAAATTTTGTCGTAACCAATCACGTTCCCGGTTTTAAAGTTCTTTTCCACTCATGGTTAAGACCCAATTACAATGCTCGACAGTTTAGTATTGCACTTTGTTTAGTGTGGATTAATTTTACTGAATGATAAATTAATGGTTGCACAATTCAGCACTGCGCATATCTTAAATTGTTAAATAACTAGGCAACGTCTGTTCTCATAAATAATTTTAAACTGCTTACCTGGCAGGATTTGTTAGACCAGCCACATTTAGGCTTGTATCTACATTCATCACAAATTTGAATTTCACTGCACGATTTCTCATGTTTTCCTGAAACACAAAAGAATATCGTTGAGATTTGTGAACAATGAAGAAGACAAAAGAAATGAACTCTGCCAAAGCTGGTTTACATTCTAAAAATTTCTGTTGGAAGTAAAAATTCACTAGTACCACTACTAAGCAGTCTAAGACTCCAGTCTAAGGCAGAGTTTGAAAACGGTACGAAATTCTTACGTTTGGGGGTTGCGTTCACACGATGCCGGTATGAAAAAATGCGAAACCGTAACGCGAACCGTAAGAGCTTGAAAACGGAACAAAATTCTACCGTCAGAGTGCCGTGTGAACGCCCAACCATAAGAATTTCATCACGGTTATGCAAAACGAATTAACAAAACTACAAAAGTTGTTGTTGGATATTATTCTGTTTATTTTAACTGATTTGTGCAGCATATTGTCAAAGCGGAATATAATCTGCCGGTATCGTGTGAACAGTTGAAACTATGATGATTTTCTGCCAGCAGAATTCCACGCCAGTATCGTGTGAACGGGGTCTAAGCCGCCACCTACCTGGGCACTGTGGTGAAGTTTTTACACTGTCTTTATTCACGCACTGACTGTTGTTCCAGTAACATCCAGATGAAAAATATTTCTCCGTGCATTCAGTTTCATTTAATATTCGCCCACACTCTCCTAGTTGAAACAAAACAGAGCAAAAGCCGCATTATTAGAGAGGTTAAGATACCCCGGTTTCGGTGTACGTGTACGGGTAGCATGATTTTGGTTAGCAATATTTTCGTCGATGTCTGTAGCTTTACTCGTAATTAAGGTGCACATTTTTCGCATTATATCATTGTCTATTGCAAGAAAACAGAAAAAGAATGATCGAATTACAGACATCAATAAAACAAGATGACACTACTCGTACCCGTACACCGAAACCGGGGTATCTTAACCTCTCTATTTTAATAGAGAGGTACCGGTAGTGGAAGTTAAATCTGAACCTCTCACTGGCTTAGTACGCGTCTTATTGGTTAATGGGATATATCAAATGTATCTGATTGGTTAATGGTCCCTTAGCGGTAGTGATTCTACAACTTTCAAAATATCAAAGTGCTGGATGTATTTGCTGGATAGTTAACGGTTACTAGTACCACATGATGGAAACTCATTTCACCAAAATGCTCACCGCGCGCTCAATTTTACTTTATAGCCACAAACCCTGGCTATAAGGTATGCCGAAAACGGGAGTACTTTGTAACCACAAACCGTGCCTACAAGCCAGTTGCAACAATGCTGTTCCAACAAATTGTAAACAAGATGTCTCCTCAACAGGCTTGTAGCAAGCTTGTTAACAAGTTGTGACAATGCTGTTCCAACAAATTGTAAACAAGATGTCTCCTCAACAGGCTTGTAGCAAGCTTGTTAACAAGTTGTGACAATGCTGTTTCAACAACTTGTCAACAAGATGTCTCCTCAACAGGCTTGTAGCAAGCTTGTTAACAAGTTGTGACAATGCTGTTCCAACAACTTGTCAACAAGATGTCTCCTCAACAGGCTTGTAGCAAGCTTGTTAACAAGTTGTGACAATGCTGTTCCAACAAATTGTAAACAAGATGTCTCCTCAACAGGCTTGTAGCAAGCTTGTTAACAAGTTGTGACAATGCTGTTCCAACAAATTGTAAACAAGATGTCTCCTCAACAGGCTTGTAGCAAGCTTGTTAACAAGTTGTGACAATGCTGTTCCAACAAATTGTAAACAAGATGTCTCCTCAACAGGCTTGTAGCAAGCTTGTTAACAAGTTGTGACAATGCTGTTCCAACAAATTGTAAACAAGATGTCTCCTCAACAGGCTTGTAGCAAGCTTGTTAACAAGTTGTGACAATGCTGTTCCAACAAATTGTAAACAAGATGTCTCCTCAACAGGCTTGTAGCAAGCTTGTTAACAAGTTGTGACAATGCTGTTCCAACAAATTGTAAACAAGATGTCTCCTCAACAGGCTTGTAGCAAGCTTGTTAACAAGTTGTGACAATGCTGTTCCAACAAATTGTCAACAAGATTTTTCGCAACAGGCTTGTAGCAAGCTTGTTAACAAGTTGTGACAATGCTGTTCCAACAACTTGTCAACAAGATTTTTCGCAACAGGCTTGTAGCAAGCTTGTTAACAAGTTGTGACAATGCTGTTCCAACAACTTGTAAACAAGATGTCTCCTCAACAGGCTTGTAGCAAGCTTGTTAACAAGTTGTGACAATGCTGTTCCAACAACTTGTCAACAAGATTTTTCGCAACAGTTACGGTTACTAGTACGACATGATGGAAACTCATTTCACGAAAATGCTCACCGCGCGCTCAATTTTCACGTTTTCCCCTTCACACTTTATATTGGTCCTGTTTAAACTGTTCTCCTTATAAATGGGCCATCCCTGTTAGTCCAGTGTCACTGTTACTACAGGCGAAGACTGGAATGTCTGTAGAAACCTGGGATGTTTGGGAGAGTGAAACTGAAAGCAGTCTTGTCGCAGATGAGACCGCCGAGAGGAGGGGGGAGGGGGGCACATTGCCCCGGGCCCCCAAGATCAAAAGAGCCCCCAAAGCAAGACCCTTAAATCCTAGCTGCGTTAGTGTCGGATAATATGCAACAAAGTGTGACATATCGTAAAACACCGCTTCTCCCGTTTTACAATTATGACGTCCCTGGCCACGCGCAACCTCTCAGCGGCCCTGCACATCAGTGAAGCCAGACAACTGCTTCATATTTAATACACCCTTTCGGAAAGTTTGTATTGACGAATGAAACCCTGAGTCACTGAGATGAAAAGCACTATAATATTAAAAATTATCATATGTCAACAACATTCCATAATTTAAATGATCATCATCTTACCGTGTGTATATGTCAATATATCATTGAAAAACGCACCATTGAAGCCACCAAAAATATACATTGTTCTATATAAGAAAATCACAAAGTCTGCAATATCCCATTGGGAACATGCACACGACCTGCGCGATTCCTTTGTAACCTCGCACGTTTATCGTGGAATTTTTACGCCCTGGTCAAGCGAATACGAAAGTTAATGAGAGTTGCAACTCTCATTAAATTCGATGAGAGTAGATAAGAGTTTTTGCTATGTGGCAGTATGTGTATCCCTGCCTACTCCACATGCAGGTTCTTATATTTTGGCACATATCAGTTATATATGACAAAGTCTGCTTGGTTAAGGTGTACGCCCGCAAATAAAGACGAACACCTCAGAAATTAAGCGACAGGGCAGGTAATATATCCAGTGAAACTCACATGAACCCTCATGTTCTCGTTTGACGACAGGGCAGGGATAGCTCATCATGAGAGCTGAGAAAACACTCATTCAAATCCATGTTTGCCAACTCTCATCAATTCTCATGTTCATTTGACCAGGGCTTACTTACTCAACAAGACAAGATAATTGACCAAGGTGACTAAGAAATACCAACCTTCCTTTGGCGACTGCAGTGTGACCGTAACGGGCCAAGGTTTGGGCAATTTGTGGCAAGTCTTCAGAATACCACTTCTGACAAGCTAAAAAGGAAAGATTCATAATTTTTAAAATGCTTTATACTGTAGCAATAAAAAAAGATTCATTTTTTTAAAATAAAGCTACAATATCGCTGACAAAACCCTTCGGGCAGTAAAGCATCTGTAGGCACCCGGCCTCCTCATCCCCCCCCCCCCATCTCAGAGCTGGCCTCTCCACCCCCTCCTCATCCCCCCCCTCCTATAACAATGTTGTTTTATGGTATTGTATCATAAATAAACAGTGCCACACGTTCTCAATAAAAACATGTCACAGCAACATTGATTAGCGGGGAGGTGAGGGGTATATTTGGCTATTTTGACAATGTTTTTCCAGTTGCCCGAATATATTTTGTCAAT